CAAAGGGGCCTTTGGAGAAGCTATGGACATTTGTAAGAAAGGTCTGTTGAAATGTCGCAGGATGTTCACCCACATGGAGAATTGCGTAGTAAATGTTTAAACCCCTCGCATTTACAACAATGCCTTATAATACTCCATGGAGTAAACAATGTATAAACAACGTGTCCTTTTGAGTTTTGTAAGAGAGCTAAGACAATGCAGAATCGCTGGCCTAAATTTTCAAAAGTGCCTAGAGATTTTGGGTGCACTACATGAGTCACCTCTGAGATTTTCAGGAAGTGCCAAGCATCCACCATCTGAACATCAGGCCCCTTTCAGTGGGGCGCCTAAACACAGAGGGACTTAGAATCACTATTCACTTCTGCAGACTCGGGCCACGATGTTTGTTCCTCCCTCTGGACAGGGGATACGGCTGCTGACTGTTAAATGTAGCTTCAGGTCGAATGTAGCCGCTGTGCTGATCAGTGTACCAGACCTGTCCCCACACCCTCCATTGACTGCAATGGGATTTGAGAGAACAGCGGTGCTGAAGTGCGTGCTGCGGGGAGCGGCGCTGTCGTCCTGTCCCTTGTGTATGTGTCTGGGGTGTTGCAATCACATCGGGGGTATTATTGTTGGTCTGACCCACTGCAACTCCCAGGTGGAGTTTTGCTTGGAAATCAGCCTTGACACAAGGAGGGCATGCTGCGGAGGGTCTCATCCCTCTGCCTTCTCCTGCCCCCTCAGTGACTGGAGGCTTTCTGGGGGCTTTTGGCTCCATTACACTCTGCTGAGTGCAAGGTAGACTATGGCTCAGTATGTGTCCGAAGAGCTTACGGAGGAGTTATTTTATACAAAGCGAGTGCTTGTGTAACCCACACACCTCCTGGGTGTGGTGTTCTGTCCCATCTAGTGGCACTGAGACCGCTTAGCGAGAGATTAATGCGTCTGCTCTACAGCCTTAACTAACAGCCATATTGCTTTGAGCTCGTGTAGTAGAGGCTCATGCACTTTAAGCTCCAGAGATCCCAGGTTCGATTCCCCCAGCGACGACTGGGGTCTGTAGGTGTTACACCTGACTTTCCAACTGAGATGGAGGAGGTCAAGTGGCAGAAATGGACCGAAGCAAAAGTTGGTGGAGTCAGCGGGATTGACTCACTTGAGGGATTGGGTGTTAATGCTGTGCTGAGGCATTGCCGTGGGGCTTGGGGGGAATTTGTCTCTGTTGTTTTTCTCCTGGATTGGCTGAGGGGTTTATTTTCTGTCAGAAGAAGTTTAAAACATTCTCATTTAAAAAGTTTACCAGTCTATGGCCAGCTCTTCCCTTCACTTATGCCCAGTGTGACCCCCCCCCATGTCAGCACCATTGCTCAGAGGGTAGTGTCGGAGGGGACAGATTTTTCACATGACTGGTTGCAGACGTGATTGGCGCATGGCTGCCGTCTCGTCCTGCACAGCTATGTGTTTATTAGCGATGAGCCCAAGGCACAAAGTTTAGATCTAAATCCAGAAATCAGGGGTGTTTGCACCTGGGTTTTCAGCTGGGATTCTGCCTTTAGTTTGTAATTAGGGATACAACATTTCATAGACATGCTGCCATCCTGTCTTCACTTTCTGATACAGTAGGTTTTGTTGCTTTAAGAATGCATCTCTAGCTCCAGGAAGATACCAGATTTTAGTTAAGGAAAGAAATGGGAGTCTGCCTTTAGGAAATGTTTAAAGAAAAGGTGCCTTGCATTGCTAACACCATTGTGTGACGTGAGCCAAAAGATAACTCAGTTTTCAGTTAAATACACACACCCACTAACTATACTCAAAAAGAAGAACAGGAGGACTTGTGGCACCTTAGAGACTAACAAATTTATTAGAGCATAAGCTTTCGTGGACTACAGCCCACTTCTTCGTATATACATCCGAAGAAGTGGGCTGTAG